TGCTCCTCTCCCAGAGGAACCCACAGTTTCTGTGTCTTAATTTTCATGATTACAGCTGGGCGGGATTTCAATAGATGAAATTGTCCTCCCCAGCTCCTCCACCATTTCCAGGGCCAATGGTTTTGTCCTTGTGTAGTTTTTTTATTACTAATTCAATTTTGTTGCTGGTAATCGATCTGTTCAGATTTTCTGTTTCTTCCTTGGTCAGCCTTGCAAGGTTGTATTTTTCTAGGAAGTTGTTCATTTCTTCTAGGTTATCCAGCTTGTTAGCATGTAGATTTTCATAGTATTCTCTAATAATTCTTTGTATTTCTATGGGGTCCATCATGATTTTTCCTTTGTCATTTCTGATTATCTTTATGTGTGTAGACTCTCTTTTTTTCTTGATAAGTCAGGCTAGGGGTTTATCTATTTTGTTTATTTTCTTGAAGAACCAGCTCCTGCTTTCATTAATTCTTTCTATTGTTTTATTCTCCTCAATTTTATTTATTTATGTTGTAATCTTTATTATGTCCCTCCTTCTACTGACTGTGGGCCTCATTTGTTTGTCCTTTTCTAGTTTCATTAATTGTTAGTTTAGACTGTTCATATGGGATTGTTCTTTCCTAACGTAGGCCTTTATTGCAATATATTTCTCTCTTAGCATGGCCTTCGCTGCATCCCACAGGTTTTGTGATGTTGAATTATTGTTGTAATTTGTCTCCATATATTGCTTGATCTCTGTTTTTACTTGGTCATTGATCCATTGATTCTTTAAGAGCACGTTATTAAGCCTCCATGTGTCTGTGGGATTTTTCATTTTCTTTGTGTAATTTATTTCTAGTTTCATACCTTTGTGATATGAGAAGCTGGTTGGTACAATTTCAATCTTTCTGAATTTACTGAGGTTCTTTTTGTTGCCTAGTATATGATCTGTTCTTGAGAATGTTCCATGTGCACCTGAGAAGAATGTGTATACTGCTGCTTTTGTGTGTAGAGTTCTGTAGATGTCTGTTAGGTCTGTCTGTTCTAGTGTATTGTTGACTGCCTCTGTCTCTTTACTTATTTTCTGTCTGGTTGATCTGTCCTTTGGAGTGAGTGGTGTGTTGGATTCTCCTAAAATGAATGCATTGCATTCTATTTCCCCCTTTAATTCTGTTAGTATTTGTTTCACATATGTAGGTGCTCCTGTGTTGGGTGCATAGATATTTATAATACTTATACCCTCTTGTTGGACTGACCCTTTTATCATTATGTAATGTCCTTCTTTGTGTCTTGTGACTTTCTTTGTTTTGAAGTCTATTTTGTGTGATACAAGTACTGCAACTCCTGCTTTTTTCTCTGTATTAGTTGCATGAAATATCTTTTTCCATCCCTTTACTGTCAGTCTGTGTATGTCTTTGGGTTCGAAGTGAGTCTCTTGTAGGCAGCATATAGATGGGTCTTGTTTTTTTATCCATTCAGTAACTCTATGTCTTTTGATTGGTGCATTCAGACCACTTACATTTAGGGTGATTATCGATAGGTATGTACTTATTGCCATTGCAGGCTTTGCAGGCTTTAGATTCGTGGTTACCAAAGGTTCAAGGTTAACTTCCTTACTATCTCACAGTCTAATTTAACTCACTTTGTATGCTATTACAAACACAACCTAAAGGTTCTTTTTTTCCCTCCTTTTTCTTCCTCCTCCATTCTTTGTCTATTATGAATCTTGATCTGTACTCTTTGTCTATCCCTTGGGTGACATCTATTTAGCCTTAGGAATACTTCCATCTATAAGACTCCCTCCAAAATGCCCCATAGAGGTGGTTTGTTGGAGGTAAATTCTTTCAGCTTTTGCTTATCTAAAAATTGTTTAATCCCTCCTTCAAATTTAAATGATAACCTTGCTGGGTAGAACATTCTTGGTTCAAGGCCCTTCTGCTTCATTGAATTAAATATATCATGCCACTCCCTTCTGGCTTGCATGGTTTCTGTTGAGAAATCTGATGATAGCTTGATGGGTTTTCCTTTGTATGTGATCTTTTTTCTCTCTATGGCTGCTTTTAAAAGTCTGTCCTTACCCTTGATCTTTGCCATTTTAATTATTATATGTCTTGATGTTGTCTTCCTTGTGTTGTGAGATCTGTGCACCTCCATGGCTTGCGAGACTATCTCCTTCCCCAGATTGGGGAAGTTTTCAGCAATTACCTCCTCAATGACACTTTCTATCCCTTTTCCTCTCTCTTCTTCTGGTACCCCCTATAATCTGAATATTGTTCCATTTGGATTGGTCACACAGTTCTCTCAGTATTATTTCATTCTTAGAGATTCTTAGAGCTGTTGTGGGCATGGCCTCCCTCTGGCTGGCCTGACACCAGCGCAGTGATTGCCAGTTTGGGAGCCAGTGCCAGCAGGCTTGGAGGGAGGTGCAGCAGGCTGCATGTCACAGTGGGGGGTCTTGGAGCTGAGCAGGCAACTAGGGGGATGGGACGCCTGAAGCTCCTTAAAGTTCCCAACCAGCTGGGCTGATCTGTGAAGACAACTCTGGGCAACACCCTTCCCCAAGGGAGACTGGTTCATGTAATGGGGTCATAGGCCAGACTGATAGGACTGGGACCTGACCTGGGGCCAGGCAGCGCAGAGTCCAGGGGTCAAAGAGAAGTTTACAAATTTCAGACAAATGACTCTCATGTGCTCTCGGCCCTCTGTGAGGCTTGCCTGGACCCCAGCTGTGCCGGGTACTCTGCTGTTCTGGGCTCTTGGCTGACTGTCCTGGTGAGTGACCCCCTCACCTGCCAGCTATGGTGCCCAAGCAAGCCAACAGCATCCTTACCTGGCAGCAGACAAGCAGAGCGAAAGCAGGTGAGGCTGACCTTAGCTGTGGTCAGAGTTCAGTATGTGATGCAGAAGGCTGGCCATGTGTCCCATCGTTTCAGCTGGTGGTGTGTTTGCCCAAGGACTATCGACCTGCCCTGACAAGGACAATCACAGTGTCAGGTGGAGGTGCTGGAAGCCAGCAGGTCTTGGAGGCTTGCCAGATGTTACAGGCACTGGATGGTGGCCTTGGCGAAGGGCTTCTCAGCAGTTTGCCAGGAGATGGAGACTTGGAATCCAGTGGATATTAGGCAGTACTCACACCTTTGAGCCTCTTCTGCAAACAAGGATTCTGGCTGCCAGCAGCTGACAGTTGGGTGGAGAGGTGTATGAACTCCCAGACCCATACTTCATAGATTTGAGTTAAATCTATACATCAGTTTGGGGAGTTGAGCCTTCCTGTCCTGACCATTTGTCTTCCCATATTTAGCTCTTCAAGTTCTTTCATTGGTGTTTTATAGTTTTCAGCTTACAGATCCTGTTCATGTTCTGTTAAATTTATTCCTAAGTATTTCAATATTTTTGGAGCTATTGGAAACGGTGTTGCTGGTATGTAGATATAAAATTATTTTAAGAGCTTTTTCTTGATGTCCTGTGACCTTAATTAACTCAGTTCTAAGAGAAGTGTTTTGGGCTACTTCTTTTGGTTTTAATCATGTCATCTGCAAGTAGAGACGTTTTTATTTCTTCTTTTCCCATCTGTATGCCTTTTATCTCTTATTCTTGCCTTATTATACTGCCTAGGAATTCTCGTATAATTGAAATAACGGTGGTGAGAGAGGTTTCCTTCCCTTGTTTCCTTCCCTTGCTCCTGATCTTCAGGGGAAAGCTTTCAGTCTTTTATCATTAAGTATAATATCACATTTCAGCTTTTTCTATGTGACCTTTGTGAGGCCAAGGAAGTTCCTTTCCATCTTTGTTCACTGACAATTTTTTGAAACTCTTGAATGGATGACATGTTTTTCAAATGCTAATTCGGCATCAGTTGGTATGATTGTATAGTTGTTCTTCTTTCTTAATATAGTGCATTACACTGATTGATTTTTTTTCAAATATTGAAGCAATTTGTCTTTTCAGGATAAGCCCCACCTGATTGTAGTATATAATGTAATAAATACTTCTGAACTCAGTATGCTAAGATTTTGTTTGATTTTTGTATCAATATTTATGAGAGATATTAACCCATAGTTTTCTTTTCTTTTTGGCTTTGGCATCAGGGTAATGCTGGTTTTGTAAAACTGAGCTGGGAAGGGTACCCTCCTCTTCTCTTTTTGGGAAGAGTTTGTGTAGAATTGGTATCATTTCATCTTTAAATGTTTAATAGAATTTAGGCTGAGCAAAAAATTTTGAGAGGCTTTTAATTATGAATTTTCTTTATAATTAAAGGATTCTTCAGGTTATCTATTTTCTCTTTGATGAGTTAGTTTTCTCTCAAGGAATTTGTTCTTTTTACCTATTTATGTGTGTTGAGTTGTTCATAGTATTTCCTTACTATCTTTTTAATATCGAACAGAGTCTGTATTGAGATCTTCTCATTCATTCCTGATCCTGATAATTTGTATCTTCATTGTTAACATTTATAAATTTTACTGATATCAGATAACCAGTTTATTTCATTGATTTTTCTCTATTAGTTTTCTGTTTTTAATTTTGTCCATTTCTCTGCTTAGCTTCCCCTCCCCCCGCCCGCCTTCCTTCAGTTTGATTTGGGTTTATTTTTGGTCCTTTAAAAAAGTTTTTTTAAAGATCAGTGATTTGATACCTTTTCTTTTTCTTAACCTAAGCATTTAATGTTATAAATTTCCCTAAGTTCCACTTTAATTGAATCATACCAATTTAGATATGTTGTTTTAATTTTTATTCAGTTCAAAATATTTCTGAACTTCCTCTTGGCCATTTATTATTCAGAAGTATGTTATTTACAAATATTTGGAGGTTTTCTTTTTAATTTTCTGTGATTTAACCCTAAGTCAACTGCATTCTCATCAGAGAGCATAATTTGATAATTATGACTTCAATTCTTTCACATGACTTTTAGGTTGGTATGATGATCCAGGTGGTTGTGTGTCTTTGTGAATGTTCAACGCACATTTAAAATAATATGAACCCCCAGTTGCTTTGCACAGGATGAGATGGTGAGAGCAAGGCTGAAGCCAAATGCCTTCCTATGACCTAGGGAGTCGTAAAGCACTTTCACAACACCTGTCAGTCCTGTCCCATGAAGGAGGCCGCCGTACCAGAGTGTGGATAACAGGAGGGGGATTTGTTGGCCACCTTGGAGGCTGGTGGTCAGCCTAGGAATGAGGGTTATTACTGAAGGGAAGAGGAAACAGACCTCTCTCTACTCCTCCTCTAGAATCCATTTGGATCATCAAAGAGTGGGTGGGGCTGGCTTCACATGTAACTGACAGCTCTGCCTGCCTATGTGGAGGGAGATTCTGAGGCTTCCAGGCTCAGTGGGGAGGACAGATGCATCCCTGTCTTCTCTCCTCCTTCTCAGGGTTGCTGAGAATTCTGAGAAGTCAGTCTGTGCAGAGGGGGCAGTGGTGTCTGTGTAGTCTCTGAATGTGGCTCCCCAGCCCCTACGGTGTCTGTCTTCCCTTGCCCAGCACTAAGGACCTGGAAGGCATAGGCATTGAAAGCAGTGCAGTTGGAGACTGACAATGAGGAAGGGGCTTGCATTTTCAGCCACCCTCTGTGCCACGTTCTCAGTTCATAGATTAGGAAACAGGCACACAGAGAGTGAATGTGTAGCCGTAGGCCACATAGCTGGTGAGGGCAGAGCTCAATATAGTCTGATCAGAGCGTAAACCCAATGCAGTCTGATATGGAGTCCATGTGCTATGCACCATGAGATGCTGATGCTGAGCAGGCAGCAAGGAGAGAGAGAGGAAGACCAGGTGACCCAGACTGAGCCAGGCACATGTGCATGCACACACCCCTTTCTGGCTTTCATCTGTGAGGCTACAGTGGTCCAAGGAAACTAGGAGTGGAGCCAGGAGAAGGCAAGGGAGGAGGGCGGCAGTGGAGGGAAGGGGTCTATAGGAGGAAACACCACATTTTCCAGGATACCAGGGGATTCCCTTTCCTTATGAGTCTGTCTCAAATCCTAGACTTCTCTCCCTGGGCCCACTAATCAATTCTCCAAAGACCTACCCCAACTGACTGCAGACGTATGCCTTTCCAGGGCCTGAGTGCCTGGGAGACCTGGGCTGAGAGTTTGTGTTCTCTGTGGTCCTCTCAGATCCTGCTTTCAGTGATAAGGGGTGAAGGAAGCATGGGGTCTGGACTTCAGATTTGTTTGGAGACAAAATTTATTGGAACAGGAAGCCAAAAAGCCATGTAGGGGGTTGGTGTTAACATCCCCAAAGCACTTGAGGAAATTCTCCCCCACTTGTATACTTCATTTCTTGTACTGAAAATGAGATTTCTGCAACCACTTATTTTTGCACTTGTAATTGGAGTGTAAGGGGTCAGGAGGCTTCCTTTGAAGATTGCTCACAGCATGCATATGGAGTATGGATGGCTACATTTGTTCTCCTGTGGTTGTTGGGATGCTATTTATTGGCAATGGCTCACTCACCATAACTGAAACACAGGGCTTCTACCCCGTGTGTGTCCTCTGGTGTCGGGTGAGGTGTACGTTCTGCGTGAAGCCCCGTCCACACTCCCTGCAAACATAGGGCTTTTCCCCGGTGTGTATCTTCTCGTGTCGGATGAGGTGTGCTGTCTGCGTGAAGCCCCGTCCACACTCCCTGCAAACATAGGGCTTCTCCCCGGTGTGTATCCTCTCGTGTCGGATGAGGTGTGCTGTCTGCGTGAAGCCCCGTCCACACTCCCTGCAAACATAGGGCTTCTCCCCGGTGTGTGTCTTCTGGTGTGGGATGAGATTTGACCTATCAGTGCAGCCTTGACCCCACCCTCTGTTCCTGACCCTTCCAGTTGACATACCTGCCCCCACAGATAATTTGTATGTGTCTTCTGGATTCACTTTCTGGCCTGTGCTGGCCTCCATCATTCTTTTATGTGTCCTGGAGCCCCCCATTTGTCCTTTGGGTGGGTTGGAAAAGGTCCCCGAAATCCTCTTCTGCCTTAAACTTTTAAGCAAAATTTTGGACCTTTCTTTGACCTCTTGACCTTCAGCTGTGTTGGCCTGGACAGGGATCCTCTGGTTGGAGATGTTTTCCTGGAGGTGTTTGTGGGGGGACCTGAGAAGGGTGATTGCGCTCCACATGCTGGCTGAGGGATTTCTGACTGGAGAAGGCCAGAGAGCAGGAGGCACAGGGGTGGATCTCTGGCTTTGGTTCTGCTGAAAGAAGAACTTTCTGGTCAGGTAGATGTTGACAAAGCTGTCTGGGTGGGATGCTTTGTCTTCTGGTGGGCCTGCCCCACTAATCATTTTTATTGTGCTAACAGCACAGCTGTGTGTGGCATCTGTTAGGAATGGCATAAAACTAAATGTGACATTCCCAGAGGAATTAACGTTTCAACAAAAGGGTATTGACCAGCAGCCTATGTGTCAGAACATGTACCAGGGAGTCGCTCCAGCTGGGAGGGGAAGGGAGATTGAAAAAGTGTGGGCTGTGCATCACTTCAGGAAAATGCAGAAAAAGTTTTGAACCAGCCAATAAAATTAAGACAAATGTAAAGAAAGCGTAATATTGATATAACTTGCTTAGGCAACATCAGGGAGAGATTAGCCAATGAGGAACCAGGGGAGGGACTCATGTGCTAAAGAATAAGTTGCTTTTTGTAAGGGCCCTGAGTGAGCCTGCTCCCCAGACACCTGATCTTGCAAGGCCGCCATTAAAGCCTCGCTCCATCATTCTTTTTGTCTCTGTGTCAGCTTACTGAGTTCGGAACAGTGAGAGTATTTCTCACACATCTCCACTCCATTTTTATTCACTGCATCTTCCTCAGAAATCCCCCAAACCCACATCCAGGGCATTTTATATGTATTGCTCAGTCTAGGAACTTTCAAGTGTCTTCAGAGGCAGCTTCCCCCTCCCACAGATGGACCTGCAGTGGCCTTTTCCTACATCCTAGTATTGTCTATGTCATATCTGCCTGTGACAGTGTCTGCAGCTATCTTATTCTTTGGAGAGGTAACAATGCTCCTGATGACTCAGGTGTAATCGGTCTTAGGTATTTCCTCTGAGGGGAATGGGATCCACTAAGTTAGGAGCCACTCAGCCTGGAGATGTAGAAATGTGGAAGGCAGGCTAGAATAGTGCTTAAAGAGAGCATGTGTGGGTAAATCTGAATTTCATCATCCACATTCAGAAAGATATTTGATTGAGGACCCCTATGCTTCTGGATACCCACCAGGAGGTGGGATTCGGATTGGACAAGGGCGAGTGGTCCAGGCCACACTGACTAAAGGACTTGGGCTCCTGTTGCCCCAACTAGACTGCGAATTGATTCTTTGTCAGTTTTCTACAAATCACAAAATGAAAGTATACCCTTCTTCAAGAGTCACACCACCTATTCATACTTGACATTTCATTCAGCCTTAGCATTTTAATTGCAATAACAAGTCCTGTTTCAAAATATATCCCAAATCATACGTCTTATGGCCCCAACTCCCATCTGTCCAATCAACCCACCATCTTCTTTCTGCAGTCTGTTTTCCAAAAATTAAAGAAAGCATTATCTCAGAGCAGAGCACATGTGACTCTCCATAGGCCTCGGGCTACCATGTATGGACCCAACCTCCGTTCTTGCCCTCCAGGCCTCCTTCCCCTGGTTGGTCTCCCAGCCAGTCCTTGTCACCCCACCTCTCCTGCCTTGGATGGTGCACTAGCTGGTGCCTTTGCCTGGACTTCTTTGCCCACTGGTACTTGCATGTCTCAAATGTTATCTCCTGAGAGAGCCCTTCCCTGACCTCGTCGCCCCCCTCATGGTTCCTAGACACCTTCCCTAGATTAGTCCCCCTCAAAGCACTCGTTGCTGTTTGACGCTGTGCACATACACCCACCCTTGTTCACCCATCAGCTGCTCGAGGGGTGATTCTGACTGCCGCTGTTGGGCACAGAGCAGGGACTCACACGAGAACTGACTGAACTGTGAATGAGTGCACATCAACACACACGTCATTCAGAAATATGGAACAAATTAAGAAGAAGCAGCTAAAAGGGCCAGAAGAAACTGTGTTGGGGAGAGAGTCGGTAGGTGCTTGAAAACTCTTTTTTTTTTTGTCCCTAAGTCTTCCAGTACTCTGTGTATGCTGTGATATATTTCATGCACAAAGTATTACAAAAATCAGAGCAAAATTTTAAAAGTAAAAAGTGTTCCTAAGTGTCAAAGGCCTCTGAAATGAGTCCTTAATTTCTGAAGCATCTGAATTGCAATTTTACTGACTTTATTCTGGATTTTACTCCTCTTAAGAGTTGGACTATGAAATTCCCAAGAATCCTTTCATTTCTTTCTATTTTAAAGAACAGTGGTGCCCACCTCTCTGTGCTGTGAGCGCTCCCTTCCACTTGCTTCCCCGCTCGATGCCCAGCTCCTGGCCATACTCGTCTCCATACCAGACCAGCAGTTCACTGCCTGGCCTGATGAGCTGGCACGTTCTGTAGAAGATCTCACTGTGATACTGAAAGGCCACCAGGTTCTGCTCGGCGGCGTCCCTGGCGCAGTTTACGTACCTGGGATCACAGCGGGCAAAAGGGAAGAAACCACCGGCAGTGAGTTCCCGCCGCTTACCATGTCCACGTCCAGCTCCATGCCCGGTGTTTATGGCTGGCTTGGACGCTGCCCCCTCCCCTCACTGTTCCTGGGGAAGCTTCTGTACATACCTCAGTCTCTTTCACAATATCATGTGGATTCTTACTGCCGTGTCTTTCTTACTGTGCTCATCCTGCCTAAAATGCTTCCCTCCCTTGCCTAAGTGTTTTCCAAAGCCTGATTTCAGACTTAGCCTCCACCTCCGTTTGCCATAAAATCCGCTGATGTTTAGCTTCTCTTAGTTAAGTCTGTTTTGTAACACAGAACTTTGGGCTTGATTACGGGCTCTGCTTCTAGATTAGCACATATCATCCTAACTCATATCCTGTTTTGATATGCCTTTGTCCAATCTCTCTGCCCTTTATTTAAGGTACCATTTACTTGCTTCCCCCGGGTTTCTACAGAAAATGGAAGACCTTTTTCCTTAGCATAATAGCACAGGACAATAATGGTTCATTCACATTCTGTATCCCCCTGTTAAGGGAAGGGGCTGGGTCATCAAACCCAGAGGTTCACGGACATACTGCAGCTTATTTGTACGCAGGCTTCAGAACCCAGTTCTAATTACAAGTGAATCTAAGAAGATTTGCTGCTCTCACAGGTTAAAGATTTGCTGCCCTCCCTTGTTTTAATTTATCTTGGCACTGTGTACTTCTTGAAAAAATAGGAAAATTATAGTTAAATCTTGAAATCAATTTTTTAATGGTTTTGCAATATGTCCTCCGTAAGGACATGGATTATAATGTGCTTAGTTAAAGAACTCCCTTATCTGAACTGGAACATAGTAAATGCCTAATAAATGTTGATTAGATAAGTTAAAATGTGTGAATCTAGGCTCCTCAAGGTTTCTTCCAGGGCTGAAATTTTGTCTAGCCATAGAGATTTATATTTGAGGAGACACACTATCTTTTAATTTCTTGTTTTTTTCTAAATATCTCTTGAAATAAAAAAAAAACACTGTATGGGAGAAAGGTGAAACAGAGGCTTGAGGGAGACAACTGAGGGAGGCATGATGAGAAGGAAAGGAGTAGGACATTGTGAGAGTCAGATGTCCTCTCCGAAACTCATAGAACTTTGCCTTACCTCATCCAGTTGGCCCAAGATTCATCCTTTCCATCCACGTACAAACAGGAGTTTCTCCCTGTGGTGATCTGAATTTCAGAAAGAGAAGTTAAAGGATTTTTTGCCGGGGGACGTAACAGAAGAAGTGTTACACCGTATTGTTATCAAGGTGCTTTCATCCTGCATGGATTCAGGCACCAACTGAATGTGACATGCTCCTCAGCCATCGTCAATGTATCCGAGTCAGTTTGCCCACTCAGAGCAAGGGCCCTGCAAGGGAGGAGCCACCTGTCTATGTCTGTGCTTCCATGCTCCCACCTCCCCTCTGATCTTTACCTGGGAGCTCCATGCTGATGCAAAGTCCACCCAGTACATGGAGCTGACCATGTTATCTCCATCCATGTTCTGGTATGTAGAAGGTCAGGTCCCATCAATCCACAAGAGGGGTGTAGGAATCAAGAGAACAGGGGAAGAGATAGATGTTCTAACCTGCCAGGAATACCCGCTGTTGGCCGCCTCTTCATCTCCTGTGATGTGGCCCTCATAGGGGCCAAAGTGCACACCCAACGGCAGATCAGATGTTTCATTCCACACTCCAAGCCCAGCCTCAGGGATGCTCGATGGTCTGATTTTCAGCCCAGGGGGCAGAGTGAGGGCTGAGCGGTTGGGATGTCCCTTGTCCACTGCAGTGTCCTTTATAAACACAGCGGGCCCATGAGCAGCACAACTGTCAATGAAGTTCTGACACTTCTCACAATCTGCAGGTGAAAGTAGCAGGGGTCAGGGAAAGCATAGTGCACGTTCTTGGACATAGAGTTCAGAAAGAGTGCTGGCACTCACACCATTTAGCTTCAGTCCTATATTCCAAGTCATTAGAAGAAGGGAATAATGTGGGGACTAAAGAATGAGATGAAATTACTGTACCAAGACACAACAGCCTTCTCTGAATGGGCCAAAAGGGTCACTTACAGAGGTTGTTGTCATCCTGGGGCTCGCTGACCTCTTGGTACACACGGCCCTTTCTTTCTTGTAGGTTATACGTCTTTCCTTCAGTCTCCTCTCCCCCAAGTTCTAAGTTGGAGAAGGGTAGGTAAGTGAGGTTGGTGAGGTCTGGAATGTTAGTCCCTGTTTGGTCAGAAACTGAAATCTCTTCCCATCAAACGGCCCCCTGTCCTTCTACACACACTGGTTTTCACCCCATTAACCACTGGTGCAGAGAGACTACCATTCAACACTGACTAGGGATGCTCAATTGAATTTCAGTTATTCTCATTATCAGGTTAAACTTCCCAAAGTTTGTACTTTGAAAATGGTTCATTCACACATTTATTCATTCAGAGAATATTTGTTGAGGGAATGTAACATGCTACGAATTAAACAAAGGTCTGGGCATACAGTACCAAGAAAGTATGGTCTGTTATCACAGATGGATTTATTGGACATCTTGCACAGGCCAACTCTTTTATTTTTAAATTAATGTTTTCAAACAATACATGAGCTATGCATCCTTATCTTCAGTTTACAAATGAACACTCAGGAACTCAGAGAATTTATAAAGTTTGCCCAAGACCCTAGTGCTAACTTCAGGCCTCAGGTTAGTCCAGCTTAAACCCGGGCCTATCCAAAGAGGAAACCACATGCTTTCACCATATTCATCAGCCTTCTTAAAGGACTGAGAGCGACTAAAGGTTTTCCTCTTACCCATTTTTTGTCTAGAGTGATGTCCAGAGGTACTTGCTTTTCCAGGAGGGGAAACTGGCTTCTGGGCCTGCTCAGAAGAGGAAATGTAGAAATGTACAGAGGGTATCAAATACATCTGGGAAATGAGGTGACCAAACAGTGAGATTGGGAAGAGAACCGAGAAGTCTAGACGATAAAGGAAAGATGGCAAACGTTGCAGACTGCCAGATCCTGGAAAGAGTGTCTGGAATTGGATTAGCTGGTTCCTGTCAATTCTGTCTGAATAAGGTTGTAATGCCAGCTGGGTTTCCTCAGTTTCCTGACCCATAAACTGGCAAATATGTGAATTCTTAATGTTATAATGAACATGCAATGTCATACTGTTTTGTGACCAAATTATTTTGTGAGCTAATGCAGCATGAATGTGAGGTTAGTCTTGCTGTCAACTTACCTCCTCCTTGGCCTCCATATTTGAAGTGTATCTTATAGATACGATCTTCAGCATTCCTTGACCCTCTTACATCTAGTTTAATTTGTTTGATCTAGTTTAACACGAATTACTCAGAAAATATACAGGGCCTTGAGCTGGTCCTGGGACTTCTGAGAAGAGTGAGGTATGAACAAGGTTCTCAAAGAGCTCCCATTTCAGAGGCAGGCTACACAGATGATTACAAATAAATGTGATGGCCTGAGTAAGGCTCGGAGGAAAGACTCACTTCCTCGTACAAGAATGAGCATTTGAAAGCAGTGCCAGATGGATGTGTTTTGGCTGAATAGTGTGTAGCCTATCTGAAGTCCTATTTTCTTATTTGTTGTTCCTCAACCATCAAACTTGGATTTCCTCTGGGCTGGGAGATGCCTCTTTGGATTAGAGTTGGGGGCTGTGAGGGTGGGTATCCTATCTCCTTCATATGGGACTATTCAGTGTCAGTACTGACCATTTGTAAGCTTCCTTTAGTCAGAGGGTCTTAGCACATCTCCCACTGTAGCATAGCAGACAGGAGCTTAAGCTGTTATCACCAGTAAGATGAGTGAAGTTACGAATAAAGACAGTGTGAGTTTTAGACGACTAGGAAAGTTTTAATGGGCTTGTAAGTGGTTTAGAGAAGGAGCTTTGGATCGGATTGCACTACCACTGAAACTGTGATCCAAGGCCTGTAATCAAACATTTCTTTACCTCAGTTTCCTCATCTATAAATGGTGATGGTTATAGTACCTACCTCATAGGGTTCCTGCCAGGTTCAAGTCAGGTTACTCATGTAAAATGCTTAAAATAAAGTCTGAAGTATTGTGAAAATAGAAACACGTGGTAGCTGCTTTGTTGCTGTTCTTACTCGCTATCAAAGTGATAGCAGACAGTGTGCAGAAGGGACCAGGAGAGGCAGGCAGCAGCTTCCAGCGCACTCGGCGCCTTCTCCCCCTCTTACCTGTGTTTCGGTCCGTGAGAAAGATTTTCTTGTCAACAGGATTTAGGAAATACTCACCTTCCGGTGTTGACTCCGTTCCACTCTGAAGGCCACCCAAGAAGGTTGGCCTAAAGGTGAAGAAAAATCAATGTTTCAGTTGGTGAGTAATTCCAAACTCTGGACATTCGCACTAGGGCCACGGCTGCCTGAACTAGAGTGATGACTACGAGGAGCATTGAAGGGCGCTCGGAAAATGGTTTCTGAAGCATCATCGGGGCTTTCTACTGGGGCCTTCAACTAGCTTTTTTAAAGTGTTTAAAAACTAGAGAAAATGCCACTTACATTTCTTCCTATGTTCATAAATTATCTATTGCATTCATCGTTAAATAATAAATTGGCCTTTTTTGACAAAAATACCCAACAAACTGGGAGTAGAAGGAAATTGCCTCACTATCATAAAAGTCACATATGAAAAGCCCACCTCCCACCTCGTATTCAACAGTGAAAAAATGAGAGCATTTCTTGTAAGATTAAGAACAAGCCAAGGATGTCCACTCTTGCCACTTCCATTCAAAATAGTACTGTCAGACCCAGCCAGGGAATCACACAAGAAAAGGAAATAAAAGGAATCCGACTTGGCAAGAAAGAAGTAAAATTATGTCTGGCTGCGGATCTCATATGGAGAAAATTGTAAAGATTCTTGCCCAAATCCTGTTAGAACTAATAAATTCAGCAAAGTTGCAGGATACAAAACTAACACCCAACAATGACTTGCACTTCTATGCACTAACAAGGAACAATCTAAAAAAGCAGCTCAGAAGACAATCCATTTTGAACAGCAACAAAATGAATGAAATAATTAAGAGTAAACTTAACCAAGGAAGTGAAACACTTGCACACTGAAAATCAGAGAACATTGTGGAAAGAAATTAAAGAAGACACAGTAAATGGAAAGGACACAGTCTCTTCAACAAACGGTGGGGCTGAGAGTATCTACATGCAAATGAATAAAAGTGGGCCCTTTTTTTGACACCATATACATAAATCAGCTCCAAGTGGATTACAGACCCAAATGGAAGACCTTAAAGTATAAAACTCTTAGGAAAAAAACAAGGGCAAACTTTTTGACATTGGAATGGGCAATGATTTCTGGGATATGGCATGAGAGGCACAAGAAACAAAATAAAATATACATGAGTTCACTAAAGATTTCTGTGAAACAAAGGACACAACACAGTGAAAAGACAACGTGTAGCATGGGAGGAAGTATTTGTAAAACATACATCTGATAAGGGTTTAATATCCAGAATATATAAGGAACTCCTACAATTCAGCAGTAAAAAATCAAGTGACTTAATTAAAAATTGGGTGCTATGGAATGAATTGTGTCCCTGCAAAACTCCTATGTTGAAACCCTAACCCCCAATGTGATGGTATTTGGAGATGGAGCATTTCGGACGTAAGTAGGGGTGGATGAGGTCATGAGATGGGGCCCTCATGATACGATTGGTCTCATCAAGAAGAAGAGAAAGATCTGGTCTTTCTCCCTAAGAGTACACACGAAGAAGGGTACCAACACAGAGCAAGATGGAGGGTGCCTAAAAGCAAGGAAGAGAATTTCACCATGAGAGCACCTTGATCTTGGACTTCCAGTCTCCAAAAGTGTGAGAAAAACGCATTTCTGAGGATTGTCACTCAGTCTATGGTATTTCGTTATGGCAGCCCAAGCTGACTAATACAATGGAAAAAGGACTTGAATAGATATTTATCCAAAGAAGATACGTGTAAATGGCCCACAAACATATGAAAAGATGCTCAATATCAATAATCACCATGAAAATGCAAACAAAAACCACAGCAACATGTCATCTCATACCTGTTAGGATGGCCAGTATGAAAATAACATACAATAACATGTGTTGACAAGGATGTTGGGAAACTGAAATGCTTACACACTGTTTGTTGAAATGTAAAGTGTCACAGCCACTATGTAAAACAGTATGGAGTTTCCTCAAATAATTAGAAATACAACTTCCCTATGATTTGGCAGTCCAACTTCTGGGTATATATGAATAGAATTTGAAAACAGGATCTTGAATAAATATCTCTGCCCTCACGGCCACTGCAGCATTATTCACAGTATCCAAGGTATGAAAGCACCTAAATGATGGATAAATGGATGAAGAAAATGTGCTATACACACAGACACACACACACACACACAGAGAGAGAGAGAGAGAGAGAGAGAGAGCAAACTTAAATGCATATTGCTAAGTAAAAGTAACCAGTGTTAAAGACTACATACTGTGTGATTCCAAGTATATGACATTTTGGAAAAGGCAAACCTATAGAGGTGGTAAGAAGATCAGTGGCTGCCAGAGGTTGCGGGGAAGGAGGATAAACAGGTGGAGCACAGAGGATTTTTAGGGCAGTGAAACTATTTTGGGTAAAACTGTTAAAGGTGAACACATGAAATTGCACATTTGTTAAAACCCATAGAACTGTACAAGCAAAGACTGAACCCCACTATGAACCGTGGACTCCAGTCAATAATCGTCCATCAGTATCAGTTCATGAATTGTAACAGACGCACCGCAGCGATTCAAGATGTTAATAACTGGGGAACCTGTGGGTGGAGGGAAAGAGGGAACTCTCTGTACTTTCTGTTTCATTTTTCTGTAAGCTTAAAAATTCTCTAAAAAATAAAGCCTATTAATTTAAAAAAAGTAATAATAATAATACCGTGTTGCCTACTTAAAAACTGCTAGGAGGAAAAACTTATATTTTTTTTTCTTGTTTTCTTTTAAACCACAATAAAAATAAAGAAAGAAATTGACTGGGGTGGGGGTTTTAATTGCATCCAGACAGCGATGCACAGATGTACGATGAACCATGGGCATACGGTTTCCCCCGAAGACTCTCCTTCCCTGTCAGAACCTTTGTGAATTTCAGATCTCTTACACTACTTTTAAGATCCTAAGGACTCAGAAATCTGTACATGGAGAATAATGGACCTAATCCAAGCCGCTTTCCCCAGTTTAGGCAGACTGACTCTTCTCTTAAACTCTCCTGTCTGAGGGGTAGCAGAAGTGAGCCTCTCATTTCTGTTTTATAGTGATTGTACCTCATTTACTTACCTGATGCTGTCTCTGGTCAGGGACTGGGGGGAAGATCAGCGACCCTAACTAGCTCTCAAACACTTTCTTGTAATCCAGGCAAAGAATCACATTCACTTTTGGGTAAGAACACCATGTGGTATGATTAGATATACATACATAAATCATGTAACTTCACATAATATATTAATCATTCCCTCTTCTGAGACATTTAATCCAATGACTGAACTATCATGAAATTAGTGTTAGAAAGCTCCCTTTTGGATTTATAGTCTAATTAGGATTTCCTTAACTGCCTTTTCATTAGTTAACAATGTTTACAAATGCAAATAGCAATGATATATTTTAAAGTATGGAGAGTTAACACTGGAAAACCTATATATCCACCACCATTCAGTCTTACTGCAACATTCTGCTACAAAAGGCTTCAGGTCTTTATTTCTACTTCAAAAATCAAACACAAAAATCAAAACAAACAGAAAACTAATCAATATACAGTGACGCCACCTGCCAGCCCTTCCTTCTTCTCTTGTGGTGATAACTATTCTGAATTTGGTATTTCTTATCATGTTCCGATTGTTATACATCTGTTGCTTATTAATATATCTTTAAATAACATATATAATTACTTTACCCATTTAAAAACTTGATATGAATAGCCTCTTACTGTATAATATGCTGTTTTGTATCTTGCTTGCTTTGTGAACATCTGTGATTTTGAGGAAATAGTGTTTCTGTTGTTACCTCCTGAGACGCAGCTGGTACCTGAACCCAGGTCAGCTTCAGGACACCCTTAAATCCTCCTGGCTCCTCACCTTGCTGCCTGGGCGTCCATTCTTCATCAGAATCCTCAGTGTCATTCACCTGGGGCTTGGTGGCCTGCCTGTGACGATGCATGAGAGCTGGTCAAGGAGATTTGAGACCTGGAAAGAAGCAAAATCTTTGTCTTAAAAGGGAAGAGCTGGAAGAATGAACAAAGCACAGCAAGAAATGAAAGCACTATAAAGTCATAGCGACTCAGTGGGATGTGCTGGGAGGGTCTAGAGTAAGGCAGGAGGTGAGCTCCGCATTACCGGTACTGGCCGCACACTGATACAGGGAGCATTTCCCTCTGGGTTTGTCTCCACACAGAAGGGAACTGTGGGCAGACAGAACCACCTGAGAGAGAGCCGGGCTCATGCAGGGGTTGCAGACTTGCTTCCCAGGCTACTCTGCACTCCACATGTTGTGTTCCCTGCAGCGACCAGTGCTTCATAGTTCCTTTTCACATTCCTGTATCAGGTTTTCTCCCAGTCTCCCATCTCTGTCCATTCTTTCTCGGAGAAGTATCTGGAAATGTCTTTGAAAGCATCTCTGGCTCAGAGAAAATAATAGGTTCCATCAGTGATTTACTAATACAAGTCAGAACTGTGAGCTGGGCCTTCTGCTCCGTCTTGCATGTAGGCTGTAGCCTGAGGCCGCTGGGTGGTCTCTGAAATAAGGGTGAAGACTCGGTCTCCTGACTGGCTCCTCAATTACTGTGCAAACACCAAGCGAGCATTTTCCCATCCCTCCGCTGACGTAGAGCAGTTGCTGATGCTAGGGTCCCGTTTTCTCCCCATGTCTCAGACACCCTGCCTGCACTCACAGAGAGGGTCGCCTACTGGTGCAGGCTCCTTGTCACCGGGCCCCTCTTCCCCTCCTTCTTACAGACCCCATCTGGAGCCTGGCTTCACCTCCCACACCTCTCACCGTGGCCTTCCAGCTCGTTGCCTTTGAGTGGCCCTCGGTATGTTGAGAAGAAGAGTGTGTAGTTATGTAAATTCTCATAAGACAGTGTATAGACGCAACATAAGTTACATATGGTTCAAAGATTTAAACACAACTAATGCAATAATAGGTATGTTAGAAAAATCACCGGGAGAGTTTTAAATCTGAAAGCATGCTTAAAGAATGTAGGTCTAAGAAGGCCTCATCAATAACGCATAAGTAAAACCAAATAAAAACAGAAAACCTGGAAAAAGGAGCCCCCAAGCCAATTCCTGAGCTGGCATAGAACACACCCTTTGGATGTTTCAATTCCCCACAATCCCATGGTTGAGGCAAATGCCTCCTCCCTGACAGCCTCTTGGTCTGCCCAGAGAGGTTAAAATCCTCACTGAATGTGCTCCTGGCTCAACAACCGTACAGCGGCCTGTGGTCCTGACATCCTTTGGCCTGCTGGTTGTAAAAAACCTGGTTTTTTTCATACCTTTTGAGAATTAAGTGCATGAGAGTGAGTGTGTCTCTAAGCAGGCAGTTTCTCACTGCGTGGTCTTGTAGAGCCACTGGCTACCTTGGCTCAGCCACTGGGGCCTCCAGTGGATTCTACGGTATGGAATAATCTTTGGGACTCTCACTGCTCCCTGAGCAAGAATCTCCTTACCATCCTAGCTTTTGGTCTCTGCTCTTTCTTAAGGAGAAGAGACTGGAAATGAGCCAACTTCTTCTTTGGGGATGGGTGATGAATGTGGTCAGGGGTCAGGTGTGACTCCTGGGCTCCCACCTCCCAGGGACATAAATGATGCCTGTATGCCTTTGGAAGGCACAGGGGCTCTTCTGGGCCCATCTTGAGATGCCGAGACCTGACACCTGAGGCAGGAGCCTTGCATTTACCACCAGCAGCAACACTGCCTTTTTGGTAAGTGGAGAGCTTCATGCCTCTGTGGGAGGAAACCAGGAGCACCACCTGGGTGACTGCCACCCCAGCTGTCCGTTTGCCCCCTCCTCCCTTGGGTTTCAGGTTCGCCACAGCTGCACTGGGCCATGAGTGATATGGAATCTGCTGCTTTTCCCACCTGGCATCTGTTCTCATGCCATGTCCAGCACCTCAGCTTTCCTGGAACTATGTCTCACCTGCTTCAGTGCAAGCAGTTCAGAGGCAGACCCCATGTTCCAACCATCTCCAAGATGGGCTATGATCCCAGTCTAGCCAGCCACACATCCTATACTCTGGGTGCTGTGATGGGTTCAGCGATGAGAATGTGAACAAGCCAGGCTAAAGGCATTTAAACCTGTGGCTTTTCATGGATCTGCAGAGAAGGAGAAACCATTCCTGCTAGAACGGACAGTGAGTGGGTGTCGGCCTGTAGCTGCTCAAGGTCCCAGATGCAGCAAGAGAGTTTGTGCCTGTGAATGGGGCCACCCCAAAGGCACACAGTACACTGGAGGATTGGAAGAGAGTCTGGGTCACACTGTGAGAGGGTGAACAGCTGGACCTCCCAGGCCCTAACCTGATCTTAAACTTGCCTCATATTTTTCCATTAAAAAATAATTTATTCTACTTCACTAGGTGTGTCCACTGTCTTGCAAAAACAAATTCCTAGTTGACATATCAATGTCAGTAATTCCTGAGAATCCCTCCACCTGGAGTCCTCGCTGGGTGGGGCAAGCCTGGGAGAGATGAAGACATTGCGTGGGGCCAGATCTCAAGGGGGCTGCCACACAGCTCTGGCCTTGTTCCTTCCCAGTCCGGGGAGAGGAAGCCCTGGAACAGTGACAGGAGAATCAAGATCAGAGCAGAAAGAAATAAAATCGAGAAGAATAAGACAATAGAAAGAATCAATGAAAGCAGGAGCTGCTTTTTGGGAAAATAAACAAAATAGATAAACCCCAAGCCAGACTTATCAAGGAAAAAGGAGAGTCTATACACTTGAACAGAATCAGAAATGAGAAGGGAAAAACCACTACGGACACCACAGACCCCCAAAGAATTATTAGAGAATACTGTGAAAAATTATATGTTAACAGACTGGATAACCTAGAAGAAATGGACAACTTTCTAGAAAAATAGAACTTTCCAAGACTTCCAGGAAGAAATGTAAACTCTGAGCAGACCAATTACCAGAAATGAAATTGAATTGGTAATAAAAAAAACTACCTCAGAACAAAACTACAGGTCCAGATGGCTTCACCACTAAATTTTATCAAACATTTTGTGAAGACATAACACCCTTCCTGCTTAAAGTTTTCCAGAAAGTAGAAGAGGAGGGAATACTTCCAGTCTCATTCTATGATGGCAGCATCACTCTAATACCCAAACCAGGTAAAGACACCACACAGACACAAAAATTACAGACCAATATCCCTAACGAAAATAGATGTAAAAATACTCAAGAAATTATTAGCAAACTAAATTCAAAAATACATCAAAATGAATATCCATTATAACCAAGTGGGATTTATTCCAGGGATGCAAGGATGGTGCCATATTAAAAAATCCATCAACATCATGCACATCAACCAAAAGAAGGACAAAAATCAAAGGATCATCCCCATAGATGCTGAAAAAGCATTTGACAAAATTCAACATACATTCATGGTAAAAACTCTACAAAATGGGTATAGAGGGCAAGTTCCTCAACATAATAAAGGGCACATATGACAAACCCACAGCCAACATCATACTGAACAGTGAGAAACCGAAGCTTTTCTTTTAAGATTGGGAACAAAGCAAGGATGCCCACTCTCCCCACTTTCATTCAGCATAGCACTTGATGCCCTAGCAATGGCAGTTGGACAACACAAAGAAATAAATGGCATCTGGATTGATAAGGAAGAAGTTAAACTGTTACTGTTTGCAGATGGCATGATATTGTACATAAAAAATCCTAAAGAATCCACTCCAAAACTACTAGAACTAGTATCTGAATTCAACAAAGTTACAGGATACAAAATTAATATTCAGAAATCTGTTGATTTCCTATACACTAACAATGAACTAGCAGAGAGAGAAATCAGGAAAACAATTCCATTCATAGTTTCATCAAAAAGAATAAAATACTTAAGAATAAACCTAACCAAGGAAGTGAAAGACCTATACTCTGAAAGCTACAAGACACTCTTAAGAGAAATTAAAAAGGACACTAATAAATGGAAATTCATCCCAAGCTCTTGGCTAGGAAGAATTAATACTATCAAAATGGTCATCCTGCCTAAAGCAATCTACAGATTCAATGCAATCCCTATCAAAATACCTACAGCATTCTTCAATGAACTAGAGCAAATAGTTCTAAAATTCATATGGAATGATAAAAGACCCCGAATAGCCAAAGCAATCCTGAGAAGGAAGAATAAAGTGGGGAAAATTATGCTCCCTGACTCAAGCTCTACTACAAAGCCACAGTAATCAAGACAATTTGGTACTGGCACAAGAACAGACGCACAGACCAGTGGAACAGACTAGAGAGCCCAGATATCAACCCAAGCATATATGGTCAATTAATATACCATAAGGAAGCCATGGATATACAATGGAGCAACAAGAGTCTGTTCAACAACTGGTGTCTGCAAAACTGGACAGCTACATGCAAGAGAATGAAACTGGATTATTGTCTACCTCCATATGCAAAAGTAAACTTGAAATGTACCAGAGGCCCGAATGTAAGTTGTGAAATCATAAAACTCTTAGAAGAAAACAGGCAAAAATCTCTTGAATATAAATATGAGCAATTTTTTCTTGAACATGTAGCCCCAGATAAGGGAAGCAACTCAAAAATGAACAAATAGGACTACATCAAACTAAAAAGCTTCTGTACGGGAAAGGGCATGATCTGTAGACCTAAAAGGCATCCTACAGTATGGGAGAATATATTCATAAATGACATATCCAACAAGAGGTTAACATCCAAAATATATAAAGAACTCACATGCCTTGACACCCAAAGAGCAAATCACCCAATTAAAAAATAGGTGGACGATATGAGCAGACACTTCACCAAAGAAGAAATTCAGATGGCCAACAGGAACATGAAAAGATGCCCACATTGCTAATTATCAGAGAAAGGCAAATTAGAACCAGAATGAGATAGCACCTTACACTAGTCAAAATGGTCACTATCCAAAAGACAAGAAATAACAAGTGTTGGTGACGGTGTAGAGAAAGGGGACATTGTGTAAGACACTGTTGTTGGGAATGGAAATTGGTGCAGCCACTATGGAAAGCAGTATGGAGGTTCCTCAAGAAACTAAAAATAGAAATACCATACAACCACATAATTCCACTTCCAGGAATTTAACCAAAGAAAACAAAATCTCTGAATCAAAATGATACATGCACCCCTGTGTTTATTGCTGCATTATTTACAGTAGCGAAGATGTGTGTCCATCAATAGATGAATGGATAAAGAAGATGTGGTATGTATACACAATGGAATATTATTCAGCCATAAAAAGTAAAGGAAAACTGCTATTTGTGACAACATGAATGGATTTAGAGGCTATTATACTAAGTGAAATAAGTCAGATAGAGAAATACAAATACCATATGATTTCACTTATATATGCAATCTAAAAACAGAACAAAATGAACAAAACAGCCATAGACTCATAGACACTGAGAAGTGACTGGTGGTTCCCATAGGGGAGGGTTTTGGGTGGATAGGTGAAGGGAATAAAGAGGCACAAAATCTCAATCATAATATAAGTTAGTCACTAAGATGAAAGTACAGCATAGAGAGTATAGTCAATAGTTCTGTGACACCTTTCTGTGTTAACAGGTAGTAAGTACACTAGTTGGGGTGAGGATTTAATAGTGTATATAACTATTGAATCACTGTGTTGTATACTTGAAACCAATATAATATTGTATATCAACTATACTTAAAAAAAGACGGTGCCTTGAACATACTGTGATATTATTTAAGTGGTAGTTATTGTTATTGTTGTTTATAATAGCTTATATCCATCCCAATATCAACTGTAATGTTTATACAGATTTTCAGCAAGTACTTCCTTTTTTATTTTCAGAATGTTCAGAGGAAATGAACTGTATGAATGAAGCATGTGATCAGTTCTATAAATAATATAGTTGAGGTAATTATTGGGAGTGAATTGAATTTATAGGTCAGTGTGGAGAGAACTGACATTTTACAATACTGAGTCTTGCCATATGGGAATAAAGAATGTCTCTCTATGTAGATATTTCCTTTTGGTTCTGTTGAAATTTTTAATCATTTTATTCATATAAATCTTGGGCATTTTTTGTCAGGTTTATTCTCTGGTAATGGATGGTTTTTATTCTTTCCGTGAATGAGATTTTTTTCCATTACATTTTTAATTTGTCGCTGTCACATAGAAAAATCATTGAGATTTGTATTTTACCTTTATTTTGATCATCATTATTAAAGTCTTTTTTTGGCCTAATAGCTTCTCAGTTTATTCTAGTGTATTTTGTAGGTAGACAGTCATGTCATCTGTAAATAAGGGCTGCTTTGTATTCCTTCCCAATAGTTGTGCCTCAGAACATTACCAAACAATTGTGCTGAAAGAAGACAATCTCTTTATCCAGACTAGTACCTTTAAAAATTCTATTGTCACTTGTGACTTGGATTGATTAGCAATTACTTGCTGTCTATGTGCTGTCGTGTGTGCTTGTATTTTTTAAAACTTTTTTTTCAACTTTTCCTCTTATTTTGGTTTAGCTGTGTCTCTAAGAAACAACACATAACATACACACTACATATAAATAAAAATGTATATAAGCTAACTAAATTTGAGATGATTTTTATTCAGAAATTTTATTTATTAATTTAATTATGATTAACATTCTTATTCATGACTTACTAATTTCTATTTCATTGAGCCAAATTAATTTCTGATTTTATTGAGATAAATTTCACAGAACATAAAGTTAACCATTTTAAAGGGTACACTTACATAACATTTAGTGTATTCACAATACTGTTAAAGCATCACTTATATTTAGTTTAAACTATTTTCATCATTCTAAAAGGAAGCACCCTACCCATGAAGCAGTCACTCCCTACTCATTCCTTCCTCCAGCTCCTGACAACCACTCTTCTTTCTCTTTTTAAT